CCAGATTGTGGACTTTACTTCCTCTCGCTCTTTGAACGGCAGCCACCACCACCAACGAAACTGAAGCTGGATGCGTCTGCCAGGATGGGAACTGGCAGGATGCAGCTGGTATAGCTTGACTGATTCTTTTAAATTGTCTGTCCAGATGATGGATTAGCCAGGTACTTACTGCGGACACTAATAAACCATCGAGAGCTGGCAGGGTAATCTTACTCCTAGAAAGTGAACCCAGAACACTGAAAACCAGGTGTGTCATTTCTAAGGTTACCAAAGGGAGAGTTTAGAAAAACGGCAGGGCAAGAGACACTCCCTTGGACCCTGGTTTCTTTGCTGTTGTTAATTCTGACATATCAGATCCTTAGTTAAAAAAAAAAAACAAGAAAAGAAAAGAATAATGTAGAACTAATTAAAATCGAATTGAAGGCTGCTGCACGGGGAATGATCCAAAGACCTGGCAAGGCTCCTGGTCCATCTGCTCATGTGGTTGGAAGGAACGAAGGTAGTTTGTGTGCCATGCCCTGACATTAGGGGCTGCAAGGGGAGGAGCAGGGGCCAGGAGACTGCTCCCCAACGGGCATTGCTAACTGAAGGTTCTGCTCGTTCAAAATGCACTGTCAGTTCATCCCAAGGGTGGGAATGTGCAGAGGCCACCTGAAGAAGAACATGTAGTTTTGGCCTTTTTTTCAGTAAGAAGCTGCAGAGAAGGCTGAGGCACGACCGCTGGGCACTGTATTCACACTCGCATGGGCCAAGACAGCCTGCGCGGTGATGAGCGCTATGTAAATAACTAGAGAGAGATGTAGGTACATAGTGAAATCCACAGAAGCTGGAATTAGACTTCCAGGACAACACAGGCAAAAAACCAGTTTACAAAACCAAACTGAACTTTCTGTGGGTTAGGCTATCAGCATTTGAGCCATACAGGAAACAACTGTCACATTTTAAGTTGCCATACGAAAGAAGGAAGAGGAAACAATTTGTACAGACTCCTCAACAACCCCTGTGATGTTCATCTGCAGCCTCGGCTGCCTTCCCTCACCATCCTGAAACTCCTTGATGCATCCTGTTGACCCACTCTCTCCAGTGCTTCCCCTACTATGAAGTTTCTCATCCATCTACAGTGCCCCTGGACCACTGATCCATTCTTTAGGACTTCCACACACACCTCAGGAATGCGTTACTCTGTCCCTGATCTGGATCTAGGTCCGTGAGAGATTTATTTCAGGTTTCAGATTTACAGTAAATCTAAGTTGCTCTTTGAATTGCACTGAGGATTTCTGTGTAATGAAGCTTATGAAATCATCAACGGCTCCTTTCCAGTCCTTTCTGGGCTTTGAAGAGGTCTCCATTTGGATGTCTGTATTAAAAATGTAACCTTTAACAGTTTGCCCATGGGGTAAAATCTCACGTCATTATAGTGCGTCATATTTCAATACATCATCATCCTGTGACAAAAGGCCAGTCCTAGAAGATTTTCAAGGACACGGTCAGTGGTGCCCGCAGCCACACGTGTATTATGCATGGTGCATAGCAATGGCAGGGGTACCAGTTGGACAGTAGGTTTGCCCAGAGGTGGTGGGGGGAAGGGAAAGGGGCAGTTTGCCTTAGCCTCCCATTTGAGAGGGAGGCCCCCAAATCAAATGGCGTTGCGACCTGGCATGTGAGGTCACAATGCCACTCAGGTTTCGCTCAGTAGCTCGTGGATGGAGTGGTTGCTGGGCAAACCTGAGGGTGGTTGTGACCCTGTATGACAATTTGCAATGCCCAGAGCTGGGAACTGGGCCCAGCCCCATGGGACAGGCGCCCAGCCGCCGCAAGGCGAGCGTGGTTCACGTGAAGAATTTCTGGAGGTGCCCCTGGTCACTGAAGTGGAACTGTTCCATTGAAGACAGGATGGTCTCACAAAATCAGATGGGTAACAATTTGTGTTGTTTAATGTTTTTACAGTTAAGAGACTTTAGAATGGACACTACAGAACCATCTTTCCCTGTTGTTGTTAAACATACAATGCTTCTTGAATAAAGCTCTGCATATATTTCATCACCTTGAATTTGCTCTGTGTGTGCGTACATTAAATACCACCCAGAAACAGGCAAGTATAGTGGAGTAAACATTTGGAAAGACCAGTTAGCTTTGTCCCTGATCTCAGGTTTAACATCCTTTGTTAATAAGACTTCAGTACAGCTGGGCAGAGAGAACCTGCCCCGGTACTCATGATGCAGAGACATATCTGGGCCATATTCATGAAAGTGAGAGCTTGGGGAATAATTGTAATCTTTCTGAAATTCACCAGGTACTTGGCATTCCTAATTGTTATTTGTCAACTTTCAAACTTTATTCATTCCTTCTCTCTAGTGATTTCTGAGCATTTGTTATCTACAGGGACACAGTACATTCGTAGATCACAGCAAAATCCAATAATAGTGAAGTACCATGGTTCTTTCTGTATAATTACAGACAATTAGAAGCTGTCACTAGAACAATTAGTTTAAAAATTGAAAACAGATAAACCACCTAAGCCATGTATCCACTTAGGGCCTGATCCCAGGAGCTTTCCATGCACAAAGCTCCCACTGAAATTCAGTGTGATTATAGTACGTGTAGGGCTCATGAGATCATATCCTTATTTAGTAAAAGTCCAAAAACGGCCAAAAGGAACGTGTCTAGAGTGTGATATGAGTGTCAAAGAACCTAGTTTAATGGGAATGGAGGGTGTGCAGTAACAGACTCAACTGTTGCTATTGTTTGCAAGTGCGAACAGGAATTGCCTGTCAAGTAACTGAAATCTTCAGGATCACAGGTAGAGTTGCAGTTATACAGTAGACCAGTGGTCACCAACTGGGATCTCCCAGTTGATCGCGATCTCCAGTGGCACAGCGGGGCTGCTGCTAAGACAAGCTCCCTGCCTGTCCCGGCCCCATGCCGCTCCCGGAAGTGGGCAGCGTGCCTCCGGGGGCGGGGGTCTCCCTCCGCATGCTGCTCCTGCCTGCAAGCACTGCCCCCGCAGCACCCCAAGCCCCAGCCCCCCAAACCAGCCCTGAGCCCCCTCCCGAAGACTGCACCCTAGCACTCTGCCCCATCCCTGACCCCCCCTCCCAGAGCCAGCACCCTGTACCCCCTCCTGCACCCCAACCCCCTGCCCCAGGCTCAGCCCAGAGCCCCCTCCCACACTGCGAACCCCTCGGCTCCAGCCAAGAGCCTGCACCCCCTCCCCAACCCCCCACCCCAGCCCGGTGAAAGTGAGTGATGGAGAGAGCAGGGGATGGAGTGAGTGGGGCAGGGCTTTGGGGAAGGGGACGGGTTCATTCTAGGTTGCCCTTAAATTCAAAAAGTGATCTTGGGCGTAAAAAGGTTGGAGACCACTGCAGTAGACAGAACACTTTAGTCGTTGTAGTGGTGACCTCTTCAGTGCAAGTAGCTGCTCTTGCCTTCTGCATTTCCTGAAGGGCGGGTGTGTGGCGGGGAACTGTACAGTGACAGGGCACGTTGGTATATGAAAGCCAGATTCTTTGGCAATTATTTGTGTGTGTATGCAATGTTTCTATCTTGCATGTTTGTTTAGCAAATAGCACTACCATTTGGACTGGATTCCTGTACATGTTTGCCTGTCTAAATATAACAAGAATGAAAGACTTGCAAAATGATATTTGCAATTTCTGTGCAGAGATTAACCCGAGCTTTGCCTTGAAGTGTGAATTGATTCTTTTCCTCAAACATCGGTATAACAGGATGGCAGTGGAAATGTGCTTAGTCTTGTTGTCAGGAATTTATGGGTTTTTTTTAAAACATTATAGCTCAGTGGGCGATCCTCATCTGTAAATTGGCATAGCTCCATTGACAAGATAGAGCTATAGACTGCCTCTGGGCCATTATTTCTAAGGGTGAAAGAAGCCAGGTTAGACAGAAGATGAACTGATCCAAATATTAGCCTGGAATTAAAACTTTTGTTTTCATATTACAACATATATCCTGTTTATAGTCCTTTATCACTTTTATTATTTATATATGTTACAACTCTCTATTCAACTTCTTGGTGTTTATAAAATTGTTTGGACAAGAAAATTATTTAACGGTATGAGTTCACAGTAGTGCTTCTTCCATCTCTCTCCTCATATGGGAAATATTGATATAATTGCCAAACAAACTTTATTTAAAAACAACAGGCAAGGTCCTCAACGAATATAAATTAGTATAGTGCCGCTGAAATCAATGGCTCTAGGACAGTGGTGGGCAACCTGCGGCCTGTCAGGGTAATCCACTGGCGAGCCGCAAGACTGTTTACATTGACCGTCCGCAGGCCCGGCTGCCCGCAGCTCCCAGTGGCCAATGGGAGGACTGCAGGTTGCCCACCACTGCTCTATGATGATTCACACCAGCTCACCAAGTATATATAAAATTATTACTATTTAACCTTAAGAGTAGAAAAATCATAGATGGCAAAGACCTATTAGGTCATCTAGTCCATCCTCTTCTGCCAAGACAGGATTGTTCCCTTTCCTGCACTACACACTATTCTCCACGGCTTTGTTCCTATCTAGTTTTAAATGTTAAGGCAACAGTTCCCTTCCATTAAAAGTCCACTCCCCAGTATAATGTGGCTTGAGTAGGATTTTCAAAAGCACTCAGCATTGTCTTAACTCTGCTCCCATAGAAATCATTGGGAGCCACTGACTTCAATGGAAATAGCATTAGATCAATGTTAAGCTTTTACTCTTACAGGCTACTCTTAAGAAATGCTTTCCTGCTCTTGAGCCTAAATTTTCCTTTGCTCATTTTCATTCCATTATTTCTAATAATTGCCCTGGAAGTCCCCAGAGATGCTCCTCTCTTTCCCCTGGGTTTTCGCCCTTTAAATGCATAGACAGTTGTTTAAGATTTCGTTCAATAATATTTTAAGTTCTCTTTTTAAAAAGGGTGCTCTGGAAAAGAAAAAGGCAAAGCTTTATGCAGTCAGTAGAAAGTTCCAGCTGGACTACAACAGTATAAAAGTTGCCTCTCACCTTGCGTGTTAATCTTCTCTTTATCTCCCGTTTTTCCTCCTGCTCCTCTTGCTCATTCCGAGCTAGAAAAAGATTTACATGATTCTAGACTGTTGGCATGATCAAAATGCACAGTATGCAACGAATAAGCCTCTACATCAGTATACCAAATTCATGGTCCATTTTGGTCAATTTCACAGTCATAGGATTTTAAAAATAGTAAATTTCATGATTTCAGCTATTTAAATCTGAAATGTCACAGTATTGTAATTGTAGGGATCCTGACCTAAAAAGGAGTTGTGTGCGTGTGGGTGTGGGTGTCGCAAGGTTATTGTAGTGGGGGTTGCGGTACTGCTACCCTTTTGTGCTGCTGCTGGTGGCGGCACTGCCATCAGAGCTGGTCAGCCAGAGTGTGGCAGTTACTGGCCGGGATCCCAGCTCTGAAGGCAGAGTCACCACCAGCAGCAGTGTGGAAGAAAGGATGGCATGGTATGGTATTGCCACCCTCTGCACTGCTGCCTTCAGAGCTGGGCCCTTGGTCAGCAGCCGCCACTCTCTGGCTGCCCAGCTCTGAAGACAGCAGCACAGAAGAAAGGATGGCATGGTATGGTATTGCCACCCTTACTTTTGTGCTGCTACTGGCTGGGTGCCAGGCCAGCAACCACCACTCTTCGACCGCCTAGCTCTGCAGGCAGTGCAGAAGTAAGGTTGGCAATACTGTGACCCCCTTAAAATAACCTTGTGACCCCCCGCCACTCCTTTTCAGGTCAGGACCCCCAATTTGAGAAACACTGGTCTCCTTCATGAAATCTGTATAATATAGGGTAAAAGCACACAAAAGACCAGATTTCACGTGGGGGTGGGGGGAGAACCAGATTTCCCAGTCTGTGAGGTATTTCTCATGACCGTGAATTTGGTAGGGCCCTACTTATATTTCAGGGCTTGTCAGATGCAGAGAAAGTCCTTCTGGGAACAGCGAACTTCCCTACTCATTTGCTACTGCACTTTCTTCTATGCCTCATGAAATATCCACATCTTCTGCCTCAGTATCAGCATGAATTTTACTTCGTGTGTTTCACTTTTTAGCATTACCAGGCAGACAGCCAGTGCTCCAGAAACCATTGTCTGCATTCTGGTGGCCTATCGGTGGACAGTGATAATACAGCTAGCCTCTGAGAAGAACAGGCTGAGAGGGCAGGAGCTTGGGAAGAAGCAGAAGTATTTTTTCCCTGGCCACAGGATAATTTGTCCACAGCTACTCAGTGGAGGGTCTGGAAACGAAACTCACAATAGGGGTAGTGGGTAAAGTCCCAGACAGACTGCCATTATCTGAGCTATTGTCTAACAGAGTGGTGAGAAGGTCCTTCTGATCTGGGCCTTGCATAACACAGCACAGGAGCACAACAGCCAACACTGGGGGCAACATGCTAAACAAACTAAAACCAAATAGGCCACATGGCAGTTTCTTACCAAGACAAGCCTGTATCACAAAGGCTCAGGAAAGTAATATCGAGCACTGCCAGCTCTATTAAACTTTCACAAGCCTCATTGATCCCGAAACGTAAAAAACAGGCTCAGGGCAAAACTTTCCAAAGCTCTTAAAAGTCACAGTTTCAAAAGTGACTTAGGCACTTACAAGTCTAAATCTCATTGAAAGTCAGTGAGATGTAGGAATTTAAGCAATGGGATGTATGCTCCTAAGTCAGTTAGGGCTTGTCTTCACTGCAGAGTTAACCCGAGAATAACTTGAGTGTTGGCTGACCCAAGAGGGGATACCGGCTAGAATCAGCCCCACTTGTCAACTGCTAACACAATTAATTTGTGTAGCTCGAGTGTTATTTCACTGTGTGTCTGGCTCTCACTTGAACTAGACTAACTCAAGAGGAGTTAACTCTGCAGTGAAGCCATATCCTTATTTAGACTCTTTTTGAAAAGTTTACCCCATTGTCTAGGCACAATCATAATACACAGATAGCTGAGCTAACTAAGCAATAAGCCACAACAAAGTGTTCATTACTGAGCTGCTGGAGCGGACTCCTAAGGTGGAGTACCTTCAATGAGTCAAGAAATAATAATAATATACTATTACTTTACACATACAGTCTATTGTACACAGTACCTTTCATCCAAGGGATCTCAAAGTATTTTACAATGGTGGGTAAATATTACCCCTGTTTTAGAGAAAAGGAAACTAAGGGCTGTTCTACACACAGGGGGAGAACCGATTTAACTCAACTGGTGCTGGAACCAATGTAGCTCAATCCGGGCAAATCCCTACTGCGAGTAGTCTTAAAACTTTCAGTTACCAACTGAATTAAGTTAAGCCAATTTAAGGCACTCAAACTGATCTAAAAAAGTGTCCACACCAGGAGTTTATTTAAAACGATGCAGTTAAACTGGTGTTCAAAAGTGGGCATAGACCAGCCGTACAGCACAGAGAAGTGATTTGACTTGTCCACGATCACAGAGCAAATTGGAGGCAGAGCTAGGATTTGAAACCAGGTCTCCTGATTCCCAGTCTGAGGCTCTAATCAGTAGAGGCAAAACCCTGGCCCCAGTGAAGTCAATTGCAAAACTCCCACTGACTTCAGTGGGACCAGGATTTCCCACTAAAAATGCACCAATTCAAGACACGCTGCGCATGACTGTCTCCTATTATAATAGGGCCCTTTAATTTCAAATGACAGATTTCCAGTAATACTTTTAAAATAAAATTTTCCGGAGGAAGGATTTTCATGCTATAGCAGAAGTATAAGAAGACAGCAGGGGACAGATCCCAAGCACTTTTTCTATACTATTTGGAATACATGTATTGCTAAATTGTTTCTCTTTTTCTTCCTTTTTTTAAAAGTTCCCTGCATAGTTTCTCCCTCCAATCAGTCCCCAATCAAACTGATTTATCGTTCCACAAAATCTAAGGAGCTGATCCTATCAACAGTTTACTCACAGAAACAGTGCCATTGAGTAAATCTTTGAAGGATCAGGCTGTGAATTGGGAGAGGTAAACAGCTTCTAACAGGGTTCAGAATAAAACAAATTGGCTGGAAGACTACAAATAGTGGGGGAGGGATAGCTCAGTGGTTTGAGCATTGGCCTGCTAAACCCAGGGTTGTGAGTTCAATCCTTGAGGGGGCCATTTAAGGATCTGGGGCAAAATCAGTACTTGGTCGTGCTAGTGAAGGCAGGGGGCTGTTCTCTATGACCTTTCAAGGTCCCTTCCAGTTCTAGGAGATAGGATATCTCCATTAATTTATAATTTAAATAAGTGTCTGAAAGGGCAGAAATGAGGCTTCTCAACAACGGCACTATTTTTCCTGTCGCCTTGTTTCCCTCAGCCCAGTTACCAAGCTTTAGAGACAACTGGGTAGGGTGAAACCTTTACCAAGTGAAAGCTGGTCATTGGCAACTGTCCTTGTCTGAAGCCAGAAGGTGATTTCTTTTTTTTAACACATGGCTAAAATTGATGAAGTCCTTTTAGAACTAGAGAGGTTACAAAACTGTTGCTTTGTGTGTTTTGTTTTAAGTGGTCAGGAGATCCCCTCTTTCTCGCTAGCCTCTTTGTGTGAGAAGAACTGGAATTTTCAGGCCTGACGTCAGTGCCAGTGTGACATTTCAACTGAAATTGTGTCAGATCCAATCTCATTGCCTTTTTACAGGGAATTCATGCTCTTTGAAGGTGCCAACCTGGCATCCTTAAAAGCTGAAGTCCTCTCTTCATCACCGATGCAGTCACCCAGAGCTGGTGCAACCTATTAGACGACCTAGGCGGTCGCCTAGGGCACTAGCATTTGGGGGGCGGCATTTTCTTCGGCGGCGACCGCGGCGGCTGGATCTTCAGCTGCCCCGGTTGTTGTTGGCATTTATGCGGAGGGAGCTGGGGCAGGGGGGCGCAGGGAGGGCCGCCTGCAGCAAGTAAGGGGGGGCGGCACCACGCAGCGGAACTCCCCGCCCCAGCTCACCTCTGCTCCGCCTCCTCCCCTGAGCACGCCGCCCCGCTCTGCTTCTCTCCCTCCCAGGCTTGCGGCGCCAAACAGCTGATTGGCGCCGCAAGCCTGGGAGGCGGGAGAAGCGGAGCAGCGATGGCGTGCTCAGGAAGGAGGCGGAGCAGAGGTGAGCTGGGGTGGGGAGCTGCCGCACAGCTCCCCTGGCGGGGGAGGTGGGGAGCTGCCGTGGGGGGGGTGCCTCAGGGTGGAGGGGGTGGTGGGGAGTTGCCGTGGGGGGGGGTGCCTCAGGGCGGAGGGGAGCTGCCTCAGGGCTCAGGGAGAGCGCAAGGTGGAAGTTTCGCCTAGGGCGCGAAACATCCTTGTACCGGCCCTGCAGTCACCATGCAAGTTTCCTCACAAACTAATGTGCCTCACCCATGCCTTGGAAGGACCCTCTGCATGGGTGAGCATCAGTTCAATCTTCATGCTTATCCAGCACACAAAACTGCAGGGTGCTGTGTTCCTCACCCAAACTGCTTCCTGCCCTTGACTCCTATTTAAGTCAATGGGAGTTGAGGGCATGTTGCATCTCACGGGAAGTACTCAGCACCTTTCAGCAGTAGGCCCTCAGCTCCTCTTCTGAGACAACCCTAAGTTTACGAGTGCCATCTGTGGCAGTGGATTTTGTGCTAGGAGTACCTGTGCTTTTGGAATTTAATCAGGAAGACTATCTTATTCATTCCATCATAGTGGGGCTAGGAAATGGACAGGTGATCTTTGCATGAGCAAAGCCTGGCTGAGTAAATACATTTTGCCTCATTTTGTTTCCCCCACATGGAACGGATACTGACACAATTGCATTTGATATAAGAACACAGTGATGTCAAATGTGACAAGTGCATCAAGGAAATTTCAGCTCTAGCCACAGAGGAAAACCTACCTGCTTAACTTTGAAAAACACCATGTGCTCATTTACTGTATTGTGAATTGGGCTAACAAAAATAGTTTCACTTGTTTGGGATAAGATCTTTGGACTTAATTTTCTTGTTTCACATCATCCATCCATTTGTCCATCTAGCTATGGTCTTAGATATTTATTTAAATTGCGTCACTGAACTATTCAAGGGGGAGTGAACAATGCTGTCTTGTAATACTGTACCATACTGGTATCTGATGGTCCTTAGTTTAGATTTTTAATATTTCATGTTTTCATTACATAATATTTCAATAATTTGTTCATCATGTAGGTGCTTCAGCAAAGGCGTGGGGTGGCTTATAAATACAATTATTATGTAACAATTTCCCCCCCAGTATTTAGGAAATTTTTCATTTAGCAAGACATATGGAGTTCTATGGCAGATCTATGTTTAGATCTATGTTTTATTTAGGTGCTGAAATGTAGTTCTAGATTTAGGGTAATAGTTTCAAATACATTTAAGTCACTTAGGAGCTAAAGTCCCATTTAAAAAAAAATCCCTAAACGACTCAAGAGGCTGAGTCCCAATGAGACTTAGGTTCCTAAGTGACTTGGGCATGTCTGAAAATTTTACTTGTAACAGCTTATCTTTAGAAACCTAGGTTTTAAAATGTTGGCCATTAAGTCAATGGTTCAGACAATGCCGCCAAAGCTGCAGCCTGGTCCCCCGTCTCCCCCCGCACCACTACCAGTGTGGTGGTTACTGGTCATGCTCCAGTGCCAGGTGATGTGTGGTACCAGATGGTTCATGCTGACTGGGAATTCTGGGGTGATAATATGAGCTCTTTGGAGAATTTGGTTCTGAACACATCAGCTCTTTTTTCAATAATTTCTCCCAGGAGACTGATTCCCTCCACCTGACATGGCATAGAAGTTTAGAGAATATAGTAGGAGATGACACACTCATAAGTGAATGATGACCCCATATCTGCTTAAATTGGCTCTGATAGCTAATCTAATTTTATCTCTATATCTATAGCTACCTGTCTATTCATGTGCCATATTTACAGAAAACCAACCACTGCAGTGCCAGCACATTTTATTCGCTAACTACACCACTGAAACATGTTAAAAATTTGATTTCATGGTATTTAATCAATTAATTTTACTAATTTCTAGAGAGCTAATCACCCATTACATGCCTCTTGGATTCTGTTCAATGTAGAAATAAAACAAAACAACAACAAATATGCAATGTTTAACAATGGGATCCTACCTAAAGAGACACTAAGGAATTTAAACATGTTATTTTAGAATATTTTTTCTTGTAGATTTTTTTTTATACTCTAGTTCCATGCTCCTGAAAGGATGCAGGATACATCACCCACGCAAGAGCGTCAGTGAAAATTGTATTCCTGCTGTTCTCTACTTTCTGACTAGTTATCTTCAAATAAACAGCTTTATCTTTTTCATATTTAAAACCATTTTGATTTGATAAAAAATAACTGCCATACTTTTTCAATATCTGATTTGTTCATTAGAATAATTGTTATTTCAGATTCAATCTTCCTCTCCTTGAAATCAGTGGTAAAACTCATACGAACTGGAACAGGATCAGGCTGTCTGGGTAGATTTTGTGGCTTTAAAATATCATTAACTACTTTAGGGATGTTGCAACTCCCCATAGGTTTGTTTGTTTAAAGGAACAATACAGATTAGAGTTTAGAAACTGTGGGCTAAATCCTGAAGTCTTTACTGGATTTCAATGGGAGGTTTGCCTGTGTGAGAACTTTGGAAGATGACCCTCAGTTTGAATTTTCTTTCCAGACTGTTTGTATTGGTTATCTTACTGAATGTGATTTTCACAGTCATTCCCACCCAAACATAACTCTTATATTATTACTTATTTGTGATATAGCTGCAGACTTGTATTTGGTGCTTTATAAAAGACACAGAGCAGCTAACAAGTTGAATTCTGAATGGTACAAATACTTACGTTTCAGAATGTTCCTCTGCTCCAGTTCCTCAGCAGTGGGCCTCTGGCTCAGTCGTCTGCGAAAAAAATCCAGGATCAGTTTTTGGACCATATCACATCCTCCTTAGTTCAATGTGTAAAAGAGCGACTTTGCGGCACAAAAGGCAGAGAGTGAGACAATGACATTGCTCCATTATGTATACAGTATGTCCACACTGTGTGTGGTATTATGGACTATACTTTGCTCTTCTATTTCCAACCCACAAAAACCAAAATGTGTTGTGTCATGTTAGACGTGAACCTCCCACTCCCACCCTGGGCTAATCTGCTAATGTGCAGATTTCTTCACTTAATTTCCTTCCTTTCATGCCTGTTTCCTGACTTTCACAAATATGACAAGTTTAGTTCTAGCTCCCTCCCTCCCTCCCTGCCCTCCAGTCTGCTGTGTGTGAGCCTCCCGACTGTACCCAACTTGTCCAAACAGAGTTTGAACACAAAGCCAGTCCACAGAAACAAGGAGGCCTGGTTAGGCTTTGCAGACTGCAGAACAATAGCAGCTCCTCTTCTCCTCCTCCTCCTCCATTCTCACTCCCCCCTTGGACAGCTTTATTAAATGTACTAATTACAAATGAACATGAATTGAAATCACTTGGCAGTCAACCTGTACGTAATACAGTCACAACAAATAAGATCTAATTACAAAAGGGAGACTGCAAACAGAAACAAACTAGAAAGCAAGAGAGTAGCAGAAAGGGGTATTTGAAAAACAAAGAAAACCAGCAAGATGACCTCAGAAATTAACATTTGTTGAGCCTGCTCTTACACCCATTGAAATCAATGGGAGTTTTGTCATTGCTTTCAATGGGAGCAGTAACAGAACATTAATCACCATCCAAAACATGAACTTGGGGCCTGATCCTGTGCTGAATACCCTCCACACACAATGCAGTCATTTACATCAGGGAAGTTGATGACTCTCGTTTAAATAAATGGAAGCTGAGGCCGCCTGATATGGTGTAGGATCAGGGCTACTGTCTGACAGAGTTTAGGAAATGATTTCAGGCTTCTCAGAACACACTGGCCCCAATCCGCAGCTGCAGCCAAAGAATGCACAGCACATCACAGGAGGGAAGTGCAGCAGTTTCTTCAAGTCATCTTTGCACTCCCCTGATCCTGGAGCTACTGTGTGCCCATCTGGTACCCAGGCATAAATTACAGCAGCCTGAGGACTGCTCTATATTATGCTCATTCCCTATGGCCTCAAGGAGTTGTTACAGCAGCTGGGATTCACAGCAATGCTGGGACTTCCTCTAGGCATACACCCTATGCCAGAGGTATCACCACTCAGCTCTATGAAGATTCACATATGCAGGGGGTATAATCCCATGGCCAGTTATGCTGGTTTTATGATTCATTTACACCACTGCAGCAGCAAAAAGTGACCTTAATGCAGTAGAGAATTAGGACCATTAGCTTGGTCTCTTTGCCATGGTTGACGGGACAATTACTTCACTGGAAAAGTGCTGAAAATGACAGAAACTCATCCTTAATTCAGAATGAATGAATGTTTGTAAAGCACTCTGAAGATGGAATGTGCTATTCAAAGATTATTATTTATTATTATTATCCTTAAGATACAGTAACTCTTGCTAACGGGATGCTTAGATAGTTCACCTTATTGTTAGGAGGCCATTAAAAGCATTTTGTTACTAGCAGGGTATGGGAATCAAAGAATAAAAATCACACAGTTTAACTTGGCAATATGTAGCTCTAGTGACTGAGTTACATAATGCTTCTTGTGCATCACATTGTGAGAGTTCTCAGGAAGATGCATCAGAGGAATGCTGAGGCCAGATTCCAGCCACTGAGCATGTGACCATTTCCACAGGGACAAACAGCACACAGTAAGAAAAAGGAGCAATTTGTGTGACTTTATGAGGAGGATGTTACTATCAAGGGCCTTTTGCCCGCAGTAAAAAAACAAAATGGGATTAAAAAGGATCAGCTAAAAATCTCATTTTCAGACATCAGAGTAAGTGAATGCTGGCCATTTCTGAACACAGGGCCAAATCCTGTGACTTCTGTTTTTGTCTGAGTGAGGAATGAGTAAAAACTGATTTAAGCATTCAAGCATTTATCTCATAATGAAAAATGTACTCTCTAGGGCAAATCCTTAACTGGCATAAATCAATGTAGCGTCACTGAACCAATAGAGCTACACTGATTTATACCAGCTGACAGCCTGGCCCCTTGGCTTTATCTCCTGACAGGACCATAAGAAAAATCTAAATGGAGTCATGAGCACTATGCAACCTCTTCTGTAGTTTAGATTACCTTGTGACAGCTACGATGAGCAAAGGCCTATCCTAAAACTATTGTATTTACAGTGTATTTAATGTAAGGTTATTTGTAGGCTTGAGCCAGCCCTTGAGAGTATAAAAGCTTCAAAGATCGTTGTATTGAGTTGGGCCCCATGAACATTCACAGACTTTTGTATCAGTAAGTGTTACATTTTTGTGCGTTCTTGGCTCAATAGAGGTTTTCCCTGGGGAATCTGGAATCCCTAAGGGGTGATGAATGCAAAATCCCCAGGCTGGTTATGCAGATACCCAGCCTTTTGAGGCATGACCTCCTGAGGAGAGGGGAAATTTTCCGGAGGCTGGGAGACAAAGCAAAATTTTTGGTATAAAAGACTGGGTTTATCCTGACAGAGGGGCCTGTCTTTAGATTCAGCAAATGGACCTTACCTTTGGTCCAAGCAAGGATCCAACCCCGCTGAAAGGTTGGAAGAACTTTGCCCTGTCAGACTCCTCCATTTGGTCAATAGGTGACTTCTGGTACATTCAGTATATGATCCTTTGGCTATTTTTCATGTTTTCTCTGCATGCTTTTGTCCTTAAATAAATGTACTCTGCTTTGAAAGAGCTGTGTGGTCACTTATAACCACTTACATTCCCTGGTCACAGCCCTTGGAAAAAAAGCAAAGTGCAGGGGTTGGCCATTAGTCAGATCTGCTTGAGATAACTGCAACCTCAAACCCAATCTGGGGAGAGAAGGGACACGGGTTCCTGCCCAGAAAGAGGTGCTGGCTGGAGGCCTCAGAGGGCATTCCTTGAGCAGATCATGGAGAGGGTCAATGGTGCAGTTACCCTGAAACTGTGACATACCTGTCCCCAAAATGATAGCTAGAGAGTAAAGAAATGCTGTTCATGGCCTTCCAAAAGTTTGCTGCAATCCAATACTAAGTATAGGCGATTAGAAGAGAACTAGGGAAGAGAACAGTAATCACATCTCATGTTTCCATGCATATTTTAACTGTTAGCAGAGGTCAGGAAAGAACTGCCTTCACACCTCCTGGCTCAGCAGTACACAACTGGCTAAGTGCATTTATGAGGCTTAGGAGTTTCACTTTCTTCTGCAGCATCAGTTTTTAAACCATGGCTAGAAGTAGGATACCAAACTTGAGGGGCTTATTTTCCTATTGAGAATCAGCCTTCTCTAATCAGTCTTCTGCAATTAGGATTTATTAGATGGGGGAAAACACTGTCTTGTCAATTAATTAAGTTCTCAATTGCCTACATGCTAAACTGAAGGCTTCTCAAGCAAGGAATCCCTATCCAAAGAAGCACAATATTAAACATAAGAGATCTACACTTGTACAATTCCTGACAGAAAACTTCATTAAGATATTGTTAAAACTGAAAATGTGCCTGACACACTCTCTCTTCCTTCAAGTTGTTCTTCCTGACAGTTCTCTTTGTTGCAGGTCTCTTGGTACCTTTCATGACAATGCTTCTCCCTGCCTCCCTTTACTGATTTTTAATTTCCCAGGGAAACCCATAAGGTGCATTTGCTGAATTTCAGCTATCAAATAACGACTATCTTTTGCCTTCCTGCTATTTTAAACATTCAGCTCCAGTTAGATTTTTGCATTTATGCAGGCAAATACAAAGAGCATGAGTGAGGCAACGGCTAGCAGATACAAGACTATATTCAGCTCCAGTGAAGATGAATTTAGAATGGGGTTGGTTAGATAATGGATTTTTCCCTGTGGAAAATTTTGATTTTTGGAGAAAATTTGAATATTGAAACATTTCAGTAGAAAAACAAACAAAAAGATAAAAAATGCTGCAGTGGTACCTTGTGGAATCTATTGTTCGGTTGCCTCATGCTCCCATTCTTCTCTATTGGCTGGGCTCCTGGTCAGACTACAGTTCCCATGATTACCAGAGTCTCCCCTCTTGGATAGCTACATGGGAGTCCCAGGTCCTGGTGCATCATAGGAGATGTGGCTTGGCTGGGAAGCCCAGCCCATGGAGCAAAATGAGGATGTGAGGCAACCAAACTACAACTCCCATAAGGCACTGCAGCAGCATATCCAAATTAAAATATTTTGATTTTATGTAAAATTTTTCAGTTTTTTAATGAAAAACTGAAATATTCTATGAAAAATTGTGTTTACTCAAAAACCTAATTTTCTGTTGAAAAACAGTTTCAATGGAAAATTTTTAACCAGCCCTAGTTTACACTGTTGGAAAGATTTTTAGCAAATGCAGTCAACAGTTTTTTGCTTTATTGCCTTGCTCAAACATCTGTGGATAGTCAAAAATATTGTAAAACTGGCCTTCTGGCTAAAGCCCCAAACTTGGGTTACTTTGATTACTTCCTTTTGTAGGCCTCCTTGGGGCCAAGTGAGTCAGCTTCTGCTTGAGACATCTCCAAAAGTTTATTATTATTGGAGATTTTTAAGAATGGGTTAGTCAAGCACCTGTCAGGAATGGTCTAGTTATTACTTAGTCCTGCCTTGAGTGCAGGGGACTGGACTAGATGATGTATTGAGGTCCATTCCAGTCGTACACTTCTATGATTATCTTCTGTTCCAGCTCAGTAAGGAATTGTTTTACTCTCAGGAGAAGTTACAGGTTACTCAAGAAAAGCTCTTTAAGATTTTTCAGAAAAGTATGGGCTGTTCAGCATGCATCAAATTAAGCCTTCCAGAAAAAAAAAATCACCATTCATAGTCAAAATGTAGCTTCTCTTAATTCGCTATCCCTAAAAAAATAAGACAACTTGCTTG